TACAGGATGAGATGGGTCTCACGGGGGAGAAGCGAACTACTATGTACAAGCTTCCGGCTAGTAAAAAGGCGTTTCTCATACAACAACATCAGGCATCGTCTGTGAAAGCGTCCAACAGTGGTCCTCAAACTTCCCACTCTGTAACTTACGGGCCGTCCAGTGGCTCGGCTTTGTTACCTCGCCTCGTGCCTCAGCTCACTGGTGATGAAGGCCTGATGCGCAAATTTTCTATTGTCGGCAGTTGGAGTGCAACAACTGCACCTCCTTTCGTTTCTTCAAATACGACCAATCTCAGTGACGATTTTAATTCTAGCTCGGTGGAGAAAAGGGCCGAGGTAGAGAAGGTGGTAGAAGAGATTCAACCACTTCAACCTCAGACTACGGGTGGTCTTTGGAGTAGGTGGTGGGCATCTTCAGGAGGCGATAAGAGCTCGATAGATCTGCAGGGTGTCAATAAGTCAGCGAAGTGGTATGTCGATGCCCTGCGCGGAAAGTCTTTTGACTTCAAGCTTGTCAAACACTTGATATCGTTGCGGGTTCATCTTTCGACTGCGAAGATGGCCTGGATCGAAGACTTCGTTGACAACGTGAAAGGATTGGATGCGTTGGATTTACTGCTGTCTGGTCTGTTGGGAAAAGGTGGAAAGAGACATACCTTACCTGAAGTGGAGACCAATGTGCTTATTGAAGTCATCAAGTGCCTTCGAGTGCTGCTCAATAATGAAGTACGTCTAAATTCAACTCCCTTCCAATTGAATCCAACCATTCCTTAATCAGCCCGGCTTTAACTATGTGCTGCGGTCACCAACGGCTATCACCCATATTGTATATGTCCTTCACACCCCATCTTTGAAATTACGGACGCTCGTATCTGAAGTTTTAGCAGCCATTGCATTGTTATCTCCGTATGACGGACATAAAAGTGTTCTGGCTGCCTTTTCCGATTACCGCGTTGCCTACAATGAAGGTTTCCGTTTTGAAGGCCTCATAGCATCCTTACGACTTCCTGACTTGGACACGGATTCAGATTCAGAAAGCGTTGTTGGCTTCGGGAACGAGGAAGAAGGCGTTTGGGAAGCTCGTACGGCTTCCATGGCTCTTATCAATGCTCTTACTAGCTCTCCAGAATCCCTGGAGGACCGTGTTATGCTAAGGGAAGAATTCGGAAGAAGAGGATTGAACGAAGTCATTGTGGTGAGTTTTGCTAATAACATTGGATAGATAGAAAGGCAAGCCATAGTAACCTCATTTTCTAGGCATTGCGGTACATCAGGCCTCCAGATTCTGTTCTAACACAATTGGATGTCTATACTGAAGAGAAGTTTGAGGATGAGGAAGATATTCGAGATCGATTTCATACCTTGATTGCCCGTGATTCCCAAGGACATGAACGACAACGCTCTGAATCCGAGATTGCACTCCAAGAATTACGACTTTTGGCGAAGCAGCACGGAGAATTGTATCCTGTGATGGTAGAAACATTGAACCGATATGGTCAAATCTTGCAACGAGATGTTGGAATGTAAGTAGGACATCTTTCAGTAATTAAATGGAATAACTCACGAGTTATTACAGACAGCTAAAAGCAGACCTATTTGCGATGCTTGACCGATTCGTTGAACAGGCTGCACTAGTCGATAATTTGTTCGTGACTGTTTTCTGCTGCATATGATCGATCACAAACTATCATCGCAGCGATGATAACTGGCAAAGCTTTATGAAGCGATTTACAGCCTCAGTTCAGCATATCACCAGGCAGGAGCTGGAGGTCAGGGCTGTCTCCGATAATGATTCTATCGTGGAGGAAGAGCTTGAAGAACTGAGAAGCCAGATCGAGGCACTTAGTGACGAGGTCAGCTTCGTCATTCCTTTCAAATATTGATCTGTTCAACATTGCCATTGCCTCAGAGGACAGAGTTGCATGACAAGTTGAATGAAAAGGTAGCGGAGATCAACACGTTGAAATCGTTACCATCGAGGACACCTGTTACTCAAGGAAATGTTGGAAAGAAAGGTGGCGCCGAGGTATTAATTCTAGGTTACCCTCTCAACCGCAATTGAGAAGTTTTGCACAGGGCTTTAATGGCGTGGTTCAAAGGCTAGTACAGAAGGAAAAGCAGGTGCTGCAGCTTCAAGCGGAACTCGACAGATTTAATGCTCAAAATCCGAGCGACGGACGTGATGCTGTATGCCTATAGTTTTTTTTTCGTCGACTTTCCTTCAACTAAATCCTTTCCAGGAACGTGCGAAAAGAGAACGGGATCGGGCGAAATGGAATGCTTTAATGGAAGAGATCGCCAAGCTAAAGGCGAAGGTGTTATATCTTTAAATTGTTTTTTTGAGATCAACACTGAACACACAACACAGAACAGTGAACTCGACTCTAATCTGTCAATCAAGGAGAAGGAAATCATTTATCTCAAGCGCGCTTTGGAATCCGTGTACACGCGTTTCACCTCTCGGGAAGAATCAAGAGTAGCCAATATGGATGCGGAGCATATTGCTACCCGAACGATAGAGAAATTGACGGAGAAAGATGAGCAAATAACTTTGCTATCCAAAGAAATAGAGGACCTCAAGGCACAACTGTTAAAAAAACCTATGACGGAGAAGGAGTTTAAGGCTAAGTCTCCACCTCCACCACCACCTCCTCCACTTTCGAAGAAGCCGACACGATCAACTACCCACGAATCTTCGAACACTTCCTCACCTTCTCATATTCCGCCATTATCCCCAGTGCCGCCACCACCACCACCTCCTTCACTGTTGCCTGCTATCTCTCTTGGCACGTCTCCGCCTCGCGTGGCTCCTAAAGCGCAGGGCAGCATATCTTCGTTATCTTCGCCACCGCCGCCACCGCCACCACCACCACCACCCATGCGTCTAGAAGTAAACGGTACTCCGCCACCGCCTCCACCTCCACCTCCACCTCCACCTCCACCCCCTATGCCTACCAGCCCAAATGGACCTCCGCCGCCGCCGCCGCCACCACCACCATCGGCCTTCAAGATGAATCGCAATTTGAAAGTCACACGCCCAGCCAAACGGCTCAAACCATTCTTTTGGAACAAACTTGCTGGTCATAATGCGGCATCGACCATCTGGAACGAGGCGCCTGGAGTTCCCGATATTCATTTCGATATGATGGATTTGGAGGCCACCTTCATCATTGACAACGTTCCTGCGACGCCGTCCCAGATTATGAGCCCGACAAGGAAACAGAACGTCACGACCCTGCTGGATATTTCGCGTGCAAATAACGTCGGTGAGGACTACGAGCAGAGCCGCAAAAAGTCCAAAAACTAACTAATTTCTCAGCCATCATGTTGTCACGCATCAAACTAAGCTACCCCGAGATTCGGCGAGCTTTGTTAGATTTGAACGACGATAAACTCTCAGTTGATGACCTGAAGTCAATCAGTCGACAATTGCCTACGCCTGAAGAAATTCTGCGTATCAAGGACTTTGATGATGTCAAGAAGCTAGCCAAAGCTGACCAATATTTCAGCGAGGTAGAATCCCATTGTCTAAGTTGTATCTTCATCTAATCGTTTCCTCCAGATTATGATTATTCCACGCCTCAAAGAACGTCTTGACTGCATGATATACAGGCGGAAACTTGACCTTGATGTCGCTGAAATGCGTCCGGAATTAAACATATTGCGAAATGCATCTCGCGAACTGCGTTCCTCTTTGAAGTTCAAGCAGATATTACAAGTTGGTATCCCTATTTCTGTCCTTGTTCTTTCTAACTTGCACCTATTAAAGCTAGTATTATCTGTTGGCAATGCTCTCAATGGGTCAACATTCAGAGGAGGTGCTCATGGCTTCCAACTGGATGCGCTACTTAAGGTTAGGACGCCTTCGAATGAATTTTAGTGATAATGTACCGACAACAAAATATAGCTGAAGGAGACAAAGACTGCGAAGGGCACCACCGACTGTCCCACTCTACTTCACTACCTTGCTCGGGTACTTCTACGTACGGACCCTTCTCTTGTCAACTTCATAGAAGGACTTCCCAACTTGGAGCCCGCTGCCAGAGGTCAATCAGCGTCGCTCTGACTGCTAGTGCATATCTTACTCACTTTCTGGTTACATATAGTATCCGCTCAAACGTTGATTCAATCGGTGAACGCATTGATCATTGGATTGGATCAAGTAAGAAAGGAGATCAAAGAGTTGCGCCAGGATATAACTACTGCAGATGATCAATTTGTGCCTGTCATGCAGGTAAGCAGTCCTCTATTGGCCGTATGAGAGATATATCGACCACTCTCTGTCAGACTTTTGTACAGCAGGTTAGCTCTAGTGTCGATGCATTGAAGAACATGAGTAGCAGTGTAGAAGACGAGCTTCGGGGAATACTTGCATATTTTGGTGAAGATCCCAGTGCACAGGATGCTCCCAAGCCTGAAGACTTTTTCGGCATGATAGTGTCCTTTTCTACTTCATTGCAGGTAAGATCACGAAGACACGACGAAACACACAGCATTGCTAACCTTCTCTCATCGTTAGAAAAGTGCTCTTGAGGTCCACGACGCGCAAGAAAAACGCGGTACATCGCTTCCTCCGTCACAGCTCATACCTACCGTTCCAGAGGTAGTAGCATCTCAACCGGAAGAAAAAGAGGCCGCTTTACCTTTGGAGAAGACTATCAAGGCACCTCCGACGATACGCGCAGGGCCCCCACCTGCTGCATCTCAAGGTTATGCTGCAGGGCTCCGTGTCCCATCTGTCGGACGCGGGGACCTGGATCAAGCCATCCGTAGCATGCGTGAGGGCAAACGACGTGCACGTCCTTCTCGGCCGCTGAGCAAGATCTTCTTGGATGGGGCCTGAGCCAGCGGAACGGGACGTCCGCAAAGTCGAATGTGCGACTAATTGAAGGGCTACGAATTTAATTAAACTAGATATCTACAAGATGTATTATTCACATACCAATTCCCAATGTAATGGTACCCATTATGATACTTTCTGTTGCCCTGCCTTCAGCAATGACACTGATGGTGAAGCGGTTATCATGCTTGCCTTCCATTTGGAGGTAGCAAGCGGCAGGGGTTCGACTCCCCTTCAGTGTAATGAATGACAATACATTGAGTTCTAACGTTTTGCTTGCGGTGATTACGCCCGATACTCAGAGAAATATCTACCGACGGGTTTACTTACATTGAACAGACGCCTCTAAGTGTTTTAAACCCTTAGCTATTTGTCTATCTAAAAGTGCGAAGATCATCAAAACATGTCATCTACGTATACATCAGAGATTAGTCCCATATCCTCTTTCTAATCCAGTGAATCGCGCCAGCGAGTCAAAGATGATTAACACAGTCAATCCGCAGCATACAAGGTAGGACAATCAGCAGAAGACCAAGTCATGGCCTATATCCGAACAAATCATGAAATCATGTAGTAGTGAGCACTGAGTACATACGTGAAAAAAAAAACAAAACAGAGGAAACGGAGAAGCGAAGAAGAATCATGCAGCAGGTGCAGGAACAGGGTAGGCATACTGCATCGACGCTGGTGTATGCGCCCGCGGAGTCGCGTTCACAGACGGCCTACGACTTGCATGGCTAGGCGCTGCAGATGGCGGGCGGGAGAGGGTCCGTCTTTGGCTCATGGCAGGCTGCTGAGTGCGGGAAGAGGACACGGAGACACGATCCCGACTTGACGCTGCTGAGGGTGGACGACTCAAGGATGCTGCCCGTGGTTGTGCACTAGAACGCGCAGGACTCGGTGCGGCATATTGAGATAACGGTTGTTGGCTCGTTGCTACCGAAGCTGCTTCCTTTTGTTGTCGCAGGTAGTCGACGTATGAAAAATCCTTCGGCAAAATCTTTCCATAAAGAGCGTAGGGAGTTGACGGAGCAGACGAGAGTGGGGAATCTTCCCCAGCCGGGGAAATTATGGACGGCTGATTCGGGTCATATTGGGCCATTGGTTCTACTGGGAAGGTGGAAAGAGGCGAGAGCAAATTTGGGCCAGGAGTAGCTCCAGGCACACCTACTGCGTCCCCATGGCCTGTTGTTGCTGCAGGCGTAGTAGTTCCACTTCGCGGATGGTATCTCCTATCACCGTACCCAGCAGTGGAAGTTTCCACGTCTTCGTGCCTGACGAATCCTGTGGGAAAGTTTTCCCCAGATGTAACAAACTGTTGATATTCATGGGGTACCACTGTTTCCTGCTCTGGGAAGGAATGTGACTGGGAGGAAACTGGGGCCACATACACAGGGTTTACGTTCTGAGGATAGTTGGAGGCAATACCTGGACCGCGGGGAGGGGTTGTGACACGTTCAGGCTGATTGAGAGACCAGCCAGCTGGGACGACGGTTGCGTACGGAGCATTAGATGGAACATCCTTGTCCATTATCACAAATGTTACTTCTTGCGGAGGTGTAGGAGCGCGAGGTTCCTGTTGTAAAGAAGGTGCATCCTGAGGTGGAAGTGAAGGGGCAGTAGGAGCAACGAATGGGGTGGGCGGATGAGGCTCAAGCTGAGGTTCATTGGCTGGCTGTGAATCCGGCGACGTGGTGTCTGAAAACAGTTGAGGGCGCGGTCGTGGCGTGTCATCGTACCAAGTTGTAGGGCGTTGAGGTCGGCGTTCATTCGTTGGACGAACGTGGCGGCGACCCTTTGTTGCTCCGGGAACATAGTCGACCGTTATGCGGTCTGCAACCCACGGAAGGTCATTTATTTCACGAAAGAACTCCCGAACGCGAGATACATATGCGGAAAAGGTACCGATTGAGCCGCGTGGCGGATCGTCCATCTTTGCATAGTCAAGCGTCGGTCGAGGTTCGATGTAAACGGGGCTGCCTATGGTTTGTGCGACGGGTAGCATTTCATGACTGACAGCCGTGCTTCCTTCATATGTGTGAGAGGAAGACGACTCATTGGGAACATGTGCAGGTGGCGAAGGACTTCGAGCTGAGTGTAAAGGAAAGCCTTCCTCTGGGTCTCGTTGCGGGCCATCTGTACTGCGTCTGCTCATCGCTCTCCTGGCGAATTGTGAGAGTTCAGAAAAGCGTTTGCTCCCTCTACTAGTCGGCGATTGCTGTGAAACTGGTTGATATGCTGCACTGCCTCCTGAGTCAAGATACGGAACCGTAGGATCGACGTTAAATGCATCTCCATCTGTTGCATGGAGTGCAGATGGTGGGGCTGGGACATACTCTTCGCCAGGTGCTGCAGCTGGAATAAAGGTAGGGGGTAAACCGTGTTGAATAGAGCTAGGTCGTCGAGGAAGACCGTGTTCTGATACACGGGTAGGCTGAGTGGGACTAGTCATGGATTGAGGTCAAGCTAAAACTCATGGTGTTAGCATTGTTCAAGTCTTTTGTTTGGACATCGTTCTCTTGCCAAATAATATGGCGCCTCTTCTAAGCGCTCAGTCTGATCCGAAATTATTAATGTCAATGTCAACCTCGTCGCTACATCTATGAAATATGTCCAGCAGTGTACTTATCATAAGAAAGGCACATTCTTCATCTCTCCAGCAGCCATCAGGTCTTCGTCAAAGTCCTCATCGCCAGCTTCTTGTTCGTCTAAATGTTCCACACTCCCATCCACACCCTCATCATCATCCCTTCCATAGTGTGGCTCATCGTCATCATCATCCATCCCAAAATGCATCTCATCCAGAGTTCCCGGCATACTAGCCATACTGCGCCGACGTTCTCGCCTACGGCCCCCCTTCCCATCCTCGCCATCACCCTCATCATCAGAATCGTAGTACGATGACCCAGGACTTGTACTACGCCGCTCGTCACTCGTTTGTGAGCCTGAGCTTGATGTCGAGAACCCAAAAGTGTTGCTTATTCTCTCCAGTGACGACATTTGGCGCAGATGTGAGCTTCGTCCTCTGTCTTCGTCAGGTGGCGGCGACATCCGTGACACCGGCGTTGAGTTCTGGCGTCCAGACACAAGACTGAAGTTGCGCAGCCGTGCAAAGGTACTTGTGTCGGAACGTGCACTCAGTGCAGGCGACGGAGGTGAAAGATCTGGCAGTGGAAACTCTTGAACTGGCACCTTCCAGTAGTTGAAGTCCGTGAACTCGGGAGTCCATTTGCGATGGATAGGTGGGAACATTTGGTCAACCAGATCCGTCATGTGGATGTATCTGCATACTATTAGTTTATCGATTGATGAGGATGGAAAGGGTGGCACATACGAGGACTTGTACCCTGCCAACTCCAACAGCTCCATCTTGACTTCCCCCGAAGAGTCGATAGTAAATATGCGTGCGCTGGGAACGTTGACACTGCGATAAGACAGAGCATCTGTGATGCGATTTCCAAAGCCTGCATAAAAAGGATTCCGCGAGGCTTCACCAAACAGCCGTTGAATATCCCTCAGACACGCCATCTTGAACACTTCCGGTTTGCGAAGGATAACCTCCCTGAAAAAAAAGTAAGAACTGCAAGACCGAAACACATCAAGACCTCTCATACCGATGCAGCGAAGTCATAAGGCGATCAGGGCTCATGATGACGGGGCCTTCAGGTAGCTGGTAGTTGTTCTGCTTGATACCTTTAAGGTAATCGCGCGTTGCGTCTGCTTGGCCGATTGCACGCGACGTAAGATACATGATCTTATATCCATTCCGTGTAATGTCTGTATACAGCTTCGCAACACCAAGGTGAGTCCAATCGCGTCCAATCATCGCAAATACATGCCCCAATCCATCAGACCTGTGGTGGATTTTGCATATCAGTGATCAGCCTGTATAAGGACAAGAACAGCCACTCACTTGGTGATTGTCCCGTCAATGTCAGAAACAACCACAAAATCAGTCGAATCCCAAACGAAGATTCGCGCGGTACATGCAATTGCGCCAGAGGCAGAAAGCGAGAAAGTGATGGAGTTGGCACCGGGTTTCAGATTAAGGGATTTCTTAGTGCAGACTCAGCCATCATTTGACAAGTTTGAGATCAACTATAAGAACATACCAGCTGGTCAGAAGTCAAACGCAACGTCTTGGCATAGCGTCGAGCTGTTTGTGGTGAGGTCGCAAATGCAGGGGTGGGCGTCTTCACAGGTATTTGAACAGGCGTCGATGGGTATGCAGGGGCAGATTCCGCTGGTGGAATATCCTTTGACTTCTTGAGGTCAAAACCGTTCGCATCCTGGAAGTAAGTTTAACATCCAGAAGACACTGCAGAAACCATGCGCTCTTTTCTACCTTCTCAAATGGCACAGAGATTGCTTTCTGTGGAATCGGTCGCTCAGTCTTCATCGCAGGCGCCTGTTCAAGCACGTTCTCCTCCTTCGTGTCCGTCTTTTTTCCACTCCTACTCCACCACCTCACCCAAGACGTAGACGTTGGCGGTTTACCCTGAACTTTCTCTGGAGGTTCTGACTTCGACCGATAGTGATACCTTTCTTCTTCAGGTGGTTGCTCATCTGATGAAGGAGGAGGAGAGAGTGGTCGGATGTCGTCGTTTTCTTCTTCAGAAACAGGGGAAGTCGGCCGAGATGAAAAGCGCTGAGCTATTTCCTGTAAGGTTGCATTGCGCCAACTGACAAGCGCGTGCATTAGAGGTGATCCATCGTTACGGGTTATGTACCTGTACGCGGTCCCATTAGTAAGTACTCGACGATGAATAACGAGTTAACGCACTGGCTACCAGCCCATCTTATGACGAGTCTAGGGTCATGCACTATCTTGTCGTCGTTTAAAAATGTATCATAATCAACTTTGCCCATTGCAAAGAGTGCTGCTGCTTCGACCTCATCCCCGCCAAAATGCTTCAAACTGCCTGCTTTCCCGAGGCTGCTCCTCCATTCTTTCATCCCATCAGACTCCACTCCCTCCTCTGGCTCGAATAACGCACCATCTGAGTGTGTATTCTCCGCCGTTGAGGAGATGACACTCAGCTCAAACACTACCTTCCGTCCCTCGATGAGCAGGGCGAATCGAGTCGGATCCTTCTTGCTAGACCTCAAAATACCTCCCTGTCCAAAAGTGCTGTCGTCCATGTCGTCCTCCTCGTGCTCATGAGAAGTATCATACTCGTCTACGAGCTCCTTAATCCTCCTCTGCCGGGTTGGACTCCCTTCTAGCTCTGGTGGTACGCTT